TTTCTTCCGTTTACGTTCGCGTAGTTCTTTGGCTTCTTCATCCAACTCAGATTCGATTTCCTGAGTCACAGTCAGATACCAACTGTTCTCCTCTGCATAGGACAATACATATTATATAAGTACTATATTATATATATATATATATGTTATATAAGCACAACACAATGTCTATCTCTATACCGGATACCAACTGCTGCCCGCTGCACAATTAAATTTGTCAGGAACATATATGCGTGCACCTACTAGAATTCTGTATAAACCTATACAGAGACATACTACATACGGATACTGTTGCATGTGCTCCTTTGCACCGTTCATTCTACGATGAGATTTATACATGCTAGATTACGGTATGAGGAATATATCGGTCCGCGTTTGATATTCGTGACCAACTCTCCTTTGTCTGTTTAATCTCTCACATCGTGAACATGTGAACATATAAAAAGTAAATTTGTTTAAACACTGAATCGTGTGACTTTCTTGATACCGTTGTCGGGTATTCAAGCGACCACGTGCGTGTAAATCAATTGTAACATATTTAACATGGGCGTGGCCACGTGCGTATAAATCAATTGTAACATATTTAACATGGGCGTGACCACGTGCGTGTAAATCAATTGTAGCATATTTAACATGGGCGTGACCATGTGCGTGCAAAGCAATTGACGTATCCTTCTCTGCTCAGTACTCACACATTATACTTCCCATTCGATCCCATAGTAGAATACCTATACAGAGACTATACACTACTGATAGATATCACATCTATAACAGACTATCCATTCTATATATAGACCATACTTATATTCGATTCCTCGTATTTGTTTGCGGCCGCCTCCTCCGTTACCACAACTAGCTTGTCGGGCAGTTCCACTGACTTTAGCATCACCACAAGGGCCTTCACGTCATAGTATGTCATGCATATGTTGATATCCGTCACCTGTGATGGCAGCAGTTGTGTGTGTGAGTATATGTGCACACATGCACACACACATCCATGCTGTAAGTACATGTGTGTACTTTTATATATTGTGCACTTGTGTGTATTGTGAGTGTAAAAGTATGTATTAGTGTGTGCACACATATCGATGGGGTCTGTCTGTTTGGTACGTTCACTCACTCTCTCTGACACAACCAAATGCGTCATCGAATGACAATCATCCGTTGCCAAACGTCGCCTGCTGTAGTGATATGAGTGCTATTGCGGAATGAAATCACGAACCAGCAGCATCGAAACAACAGTATAGAGGCGCACGACACCCCAAATAAACCAAGTTTATAAAGTCATGCTAAATAAACTAGGTTCATCTACATGGAAGAAGTAATGAGTGCATATGTATTATTATAAGTTCCGAAATAATATATTGTCGGCAACTCACAATAATCATTTAAGGTAAGGTTTCTATGCGCAAATAATCAGGTTTATTGGCGACGATAAACCAATTTTACGCAACATACTGACCTGTAGCGAGGCCGAATAGTCCTCGTCGATGGCGATGTGTTGTCGGATGTTGACTGGCTTGACCACTTGTAGCTCTGTTTCTGTCTGAGACAGTAGATCGAACGAAAGCACACACACATCCGATACGCAGTTCACCTGGGAGGGGAAGTGGACAATTAATGAGGAATGGAAAGAAATAAATGTTTGATATTAATGTGAGACAACTGATCAAACGACAGCGCACACACATCCGATACACAGGTCACTTGGGATATTTATTGAACAATTAAGGAGAAAAGGTAAATATATATATATATATATGTATATATATACATACATACATACATGCATGCATACATACATACATACATACATACAC